TAGAAAATGCTTGATTGTGAATATTATAATTGTTTTCTTAAATAGGTATGGGTAAGGGTCTTTCCCCGTGGGACCAATATATACGAAGTATAATTATTTCTGGCGGCCTACCCACCTGGTTTCACTCATAATCTATTAAAATTGTTCTTTGAAATTATTAAAAGTCGGAGTTAAAGCAACCCCCACCCCCACTCCAGATCACTTGAAGGATGTAATACAAGGATGAAGCACGGTACTCGTAACATCTTGGTCGCCTAAGACTTTATGTAGAAAAGTGAGTAACGAAGCCGAGGGTGTAGGCTCAAATCGGTTATTTTTTATATATTTTTTTTTTTTTAACCCCATTGGAATTAAGTCTTAGGAATTTATAGGCATTCCTGGCATCTTTAAAAAAAATGCTTTCAAACTTAAAGATTGCACCGAAATAACAGCGTTTATAATATTAATCATGCAGAACGATTTAATTTTGGACATTAATATTATTATTATTTTTTTAATTTCATTGAAACTACAAAATTATTGGAGCGGATAAATTGGTTAATTGACGAAACATACTTACTATTCACCAGAGAGAAGTTTCAACTCCAAAGCGGATGAATCTTTAATTTGACCTAAAGTAAAAATGAAGAATTTAAATCAACACGTCCGTTTATCTATTTATAATTATGGTGCCTTAAATTATTGTAGGATGTCATAACTTGGATTAGCGCATTCATGTTTCTACCTAAGTTTTAAAATATACATATCCTACACTCTCTACCCGGTGGTTACTTATGATTTTGCCTTGCAGCGACAACTTGTTAATCTTATGCAAGATGACTGACGTAGACGTAAACGATTGATGACGTTCATCAATATTTTAGATACAGCCAATAACTACAAGATTCTAATGACTGTTGTAATTACGTGGAAATATGGAAATTCGACTATAAATACAGTTAATAATACTGTAAGCCTTCTCGTAGTTTCAATTGTGCATGGTGTAGACCCTCCATTTATATAATACATTTTTATTGGTAGCAGCTACATTGTTATGTGGTTGCATTTACGATCAATGTTAAGTAATCCTGCTTAATAGAAATGCAGCAGAAAGTGTAGGCCGTTTGAGTATTTAGTTATATGCCTTGACATTTTGCATATTCATGTAAAGCTAAGACTAAGAGAAGCCGAATGCAATAAAAAAAAATAATGTGTACATTTTTTATTTTTTTTTTTACCATCTTTATAATGAACCATAAGAACCATATCTCTGAGATACGCGCCACCAACAATCAGTACTTCTTGCTTCTGCGCACTAATCATGTCGCATGTTCTTGTCCACCTGTATAACATTACGCTTGGACTGTTGCAAACAGTTCTTTCTAAATCGGGATTACAAGACCTACATTTTGGGCAATAAAAAAACACAGCTAATAGCACAAAATCTTGCCTATTGTTACATACATTCAAAATGTATTTGCTGAATAAATGTACATAGATTAACCTGCATTTTATTGGAAATTTAGAAGTTCTGTTAACAATGCTAACTTTAAAGCTTACCTTCTCGAACATTTATTTTAATTACGACCCCCTATGGTTCTTATTGTTTTTATGTGCTATCGTAATATTAAATTTATATGAATGTTTTGTAAAAATGTGTCTGTTTTTCTTAGCTATTATACAATTATCTATCTTCCATGTGAGTTTTGACCTGTCGTTTTACGTTTGGTAATCCGCAGGCTTGTTTTGTATTCGTTTATTTGTATGTTGCTTGGAAATAATAAATGAAATGAAATCTGAATTTATATTTCAGTTAAGTTAACTGTTATTCTCATCTTAAGTACTGGTACAGGTAAAATAAATATTTCAATTTACAGTATTTTTGCCTGTTTTCAATACTTTTAGGCTCTCAGTACTGTAATAAGCTATTTGAATATCTATCTATCTATTATGCAAACAATTGTATTTTGAATTACTTTAAGCTTGTCTATTAGAGATTTAGGCAAACAATTCACAAAGTTAATTTGAAGAATTGTTGACAAGGATTCTAAAATAGGTGTTGATAATTCAACGAATTTTGTCAATTTAAAAGTAAAGATGTGTAATTTAACAAACAGCATTGGCATTACCCTTCATAAACAATGTGTTGTCAAAATAATACATTATGCACATGAATCAATTAACATAACCTCGACCTTTGATTCATTTAGATTTTACGAAATTGGCTGAAAGCCATACAGTATTTGGATGTCAGGGACACGGTCCTGTGCATTTGATATAAGGAGATGAAACATCTGTTGAACTGGGATTTGCAGAAAGGTAAACACTTAGGCCTATATAATATCCAAGATCATACTAGTTTGTGTATATCTTCATAACAATGGTAAATCATAAAATTAGATAGAATTATTTTGCCAATAGGAATCAGGCTAAGTGATAACATTTCTGACCAAAGCCTAGGGGGAACCTATGATTAACAGTTAGGGTACATATATTTTGACACATCATTATCATTAATGTAGGTCTATACCTGTCTTATGTATTATTTTCAGAATACAGTAATTATGTTTAATTCTAATTCTTGTAAATAACCTTCACTAGGCCTAAAGGTAAACCTGGACGTCATAATTTTACCTCCAAAGTTTCCCAAACTGTACACTGACCTTCTTCGTCTAGTGTTTGGATTCCGATGATTTTACAATATAATGCTGCATGCAAAATATATATCCATTATACCTAATTCTGAATGAGGTCTATCAATTTATAGAAAAGTTTCTTTTTTTGTTTTAAACTGTTGGCCTACGTACCATGTTTTGAATGAGACATCTGGTTTCTCTAAACATCCATATAGCGTTATCATATCAACTGATTCGTTTTGAGGAAGAGGTACGTAGCCCACTGAAAAACAAAAACAGAAAAAAATATTAATGCAAAGCTACTGGTCTTGACACTTAAATATACATCTGTTAGAATAGTATGTATACAGGGCGAACACAAAAGTATGAACTAGTCTACTAATGTCTACGGTACCTCTACAGCTTTTTACGAAATTTATATCAACATCAGCATTTAAGCAGCTCGTCTTAATATGAATTAGGAAGTTATATTCCAAACAATAATCATTGTTGCTTTGTAGGTAAGTTCCAAATGATGTACATAATTAAAAAAACAATACAATGGACTTCTCCGGAGTATCAGTCAAACTTAACAGTGACCATTTAGAACTGCAAGAGCCGCACTTGCAGGTCAATAACACGCATGTCCCACAACCCACACGGCAATTATGTTTCTACAGTTGGCTGTCATTTTGTGAGATATCAACAATAGAGCTCTCTCCACAGTATGCACTCTGTAAGTCAACCATTAATATCCACAAGGCGGGAATTAGCTGAACGGCCATTATAATACAAAATACAATTTGATTAATATTTTAAGTGTTAATTTATGAAATGATTGAAATGTCTCTGCTCTATTCATTAAAAAAAATATGAGCTGCATACTTAACAAAAACAATGTATACCTATTACTGACTTAGTAATTAATATTCTTTATTAACGTTGGTAATGTGCACAATCTTTAAGCGATATTCAAATTACCAGCTAGCCGTATGCGATTTGACGAGTCACTTTTTGTACATTTACTTACTTCTCTCTTTAAACTATTTTATTTAAATACCAACATAATCGACGTTTTCATTTACAAGTTAATTTATGAAATGATTGAAATGTCTCTGCTCTATTCATTAAAAAAAATATGAGCTGCATACTTAACAAAAACAATGTATACCTATTATTGACTTAGTAATTAATATTCTTTATTAACGTTGGTAATGTGCACAATCTTTAAGCGATATTCAATTACCAGCTAGCCGTATGCGAGTCACTTTTTGTACATTTACTTACTTCTCTCTTTAAACTATTTTATTTACATACCAACATAATCGACGTTTTCATTTACAAGCGTTATTTAAAAGACAGTTTATACTCTAATGCTAATTAAAACACATTCATTATTTTTAAAAAAATACGTTCAAAAATCCTTATTATTGAACAGCAAACTTAAAAAGTTACAGAAAAGAAAATACCAGTAGGCCTATAACTTATATATTAAGCTTACATACGTAACGAAAATATATTTTAAAAATGTAATAATTCAAAGAAATACAAAGCATTAAAAATGCTGGCAAGATGCAGTAAAATATCACATTCAATAAATGGTTCAATTCATAATTCACATTCTGATGCATTGAAATTACTGTATCAAATGAAGAGAACAGATACAAATTAAAAGTTGAAATATCGAAATCTGCTGGAGTAATTACTTGTATATAAATTACAGTCATTATTATTATTATTATTATTATTATTATTATTATTATTATTTTCATATAGCAACGCATGCATGATATACGTGTGTATGTGTCTTTTTTACTTTCTTACGTAAAATACTTTTACAACGCGCGCATTCGTAGGCCTATGTGTGCGCAACACGCACCCTCACGTTGACGGTTTATCCATTTTTAGGGGATGTCGTTAGCTAATCGCGTCACCTGATTGGTAATTACAAGGAGGAGTGAAAATATAATTTACGTGATTCAGAGAAAAATCGATCTTAATATAAAGCCTTTGGGAAATGAAAATAATTGTATTAATTACGCGTGAAATATAAGATAATATGGAATGTCTTTCCTGAACTGACTGAAGCTTATCTTTATCTGAATTATTCAATTTGAACTAAAAGAGCGATACATAATTCAAGTATTTTCGTATCTCTAGGGCCTAAAATCTTCCAAGATCTGACGCCGCAAGTATCATTCTAGTGATGATAAATTCCAAAATCTTCAACAACAGTATTTAATGATGTTAATTTTTGTGTGCTCGGTTTTCACTTGCTAGTTACGTTTCAAACGGAAAAACGTTTATAAAGTATACGTTTAAACGTTATAAGTCGCTCTGTTTCATAATTGAAGCGGCGTTTTATAATGACTGGATTGCTCATTGACCGGTTATCTGTGAAGCCACAGACGCCATGATGGGGAGCCAAAAACGTCATATATACGTCATCAGAAAGCAAATTTTTTGAATCAGTGTGAGGAACCAACAAAGTGACATTGCTTGCGCTTTTTCAATAATAATTTACACAAATGCAAAAAGAAAAAGTAAATGTAAAAGAATTGACTGGTACGTCGCTTGGGCTCTTGCATAATGACATTGGTGGCTTCATTTTCCTGTACAGTGAATGGCCATTGAACAATTCAGTCCAGTGCATTTGCATGCGTCATAAACTTTTGCATACTATTTTCGTTTGTTTCGCGTCTAATTTCTAGTCACACTGGAATTGCATTGTGTATTAAATCAGTACATTCAGACAATACATACCGATCCATGATGAGTCTGCGCCCATGGACACACCTGTGCATATATTCATATCGTCCTGCAAAGAAAACATACACATTTTAGCTCATATTTATTATTTTTTGTAATTTTATTGTCATCCTACAGCGGGTGGTATATATTCTCATAATGAGATGAAAGTAGTGGAGACGTTCACTCATGAGAATAAACTAAAGACTAGATTTGGTCCCAGCATCCTAGGAATACAAGGGAAGAGCTTTTACCGACCTATACCTCAACTCCAATTATAACCTATTTTGAGGTTATCATTTTCCAATAAACTCTTAGCCGTCTGCTAAGTGATACATAGATGTAAACTGTAAACCGTCTTATACCGTCAGGTTAAATAATTTTATATGTACATTTTTAATATTAAAGAAGAGGAATCTTCGAGTGCTAAAAAGTTGTCTCCCAACCGGAATTCGAATCTTCTGCTGTCAATGCAGATGCATAGACAGCAGACGGTCCCAGCAGAAGGTCCCAGGTTCAAACCCGGTTGAGACATCTACTTTTTTTCACACTCGCGAGAATTAGCTGCATATGGCAATGTATAAACATACTAATAATAACGCTAAAGCATAAAGTACGATATTGCCAATATTTATTTTATATAGTTGCAAATTAATAACATTCAATTCAAGTAATATTTATTTCACAAAACAATACAGTAACTAATAGACCAGGCTATAATTGAGATAGGTGCCACTTGGAGACGTAGAAATTCTCATATGGTTTTTCTAGACCAGTTTTTTATGGGGAATCAGAATATGTGAGGTAAAAGAGGTGTAACCTGAGAACTTTCGCATGAGGGCGCTTTTTCAAAATGGCCGCCAAAATCCAATAAAACTACATATATATGGGTAAAATAAGCACAGAAGAGGTAGGTTTGACCAACTTTTGAATATGTAATGATAGGAGTAAAGTATAACTAGTTAAAGTTATTAATGTTAAGATTTCGGGGGGAATTGAGGGCGCTTTTTAAAATGGCCGCCAAAATTAAATAACAATTTAACAGCAGCTTCAATACCCTAGATAAATTTGTTTAATTTAAAAAACATGAGTGTAATAACTGCTGTTGACTTTTTAAACCTAAAACAACATATTTTAGGGCTGTAAGCTAACTCACTTTTGAAAATGTAAGTAAAAATGCCCCCTTATATTAGCATTTTTCTGTTTTAAAGAATGGGAAATATCACTAGAATCCTAAAAGAATTCCAGCTTCCTTACAAATATCCGGTTGTTTTTCATTATTTCTGTGTGCTATACAAGGTATTCCAGACAACTACCACAATTTTCATGTATGAAGAAGGCATCAATTCATTTACTACACATTTGTCTTGTAGTGTTTAACTGTGTAGCCTTATGTTAAGCAATAATCTTCAGGTATCGTTTTTATCACTGCAATCTGAAAATATTCGTATTTATTGTATGAACAATTCTTAGACTTCCAGGGGAATTTGTTTATTCCATCTGTTCCATCAACTATTTTTATTGACGGTCATTTACCTCTGCTTATTTTCATTCTTGAACGATTAGGTTTGCTAAGTATCTGAAGCTCGAGATTCTGCTAACATGGTGGCAACAATGATATGTCAGTGATCTTGTGTCTGCAAAACTTTCAATTGAACATGTTACTTGCTTACTTACAATTTTCTCCTTAACTCCAAGCAGCAGTAAGACATACTCTTGTTCTTCAGACAACTTTTTTGACAGAACATCTAAAACTCCGACGTTGCTGAAAGTTTCAACAAACCCAGTTTATGATTACAGAAGCTACGTTTTCCTTTACGAAAGAAAGCCGGGGTGTAATTGTCTGTAATATCGATGTCTCGAGAAAGGGAACGGATGATATATGCCTTGGTTGTTATTCGTAAAAGCATGCTTTGCATACAGGAAGGCTTTCGTGTAGGCTTCTTCTTGTTGGTTCTACAACAGATTGTAAAACCCCAGGTTGCCGACTGCCAGATTTTCGAGTTCACTTCGCCAAAACACAGTTTGCCGAATGCCAGTTTTCAGAATCAAAAACTACGAATCCCAGTTTGTTGAAACCCAGTTTGCACTGAAACCCACTTTGTCGAAAATAAAATAAAAGCAGTACGTAAAACATTAACCACAGCATAACATTCATGTTGGAACACTCTCTTACTATGTATTCGTATAAGAAATAGTGGCTTATTGTAGCTAAATGATTCTTTTTGTTTTAATATGTAAATCAATTGGTTATCAGCAAATAAAAGTCAATTTAATAGGCCTCGCAGTTAAAATGTTTTATTACCATACCTATGATAAATACATAAAATTATTTAAAAAAAAATAATAATGAAGGAGATAAACAAATTAATAATAATCTACAATTATACCCACATGCCAATTGTGGCTTCAGAAATGTGTTGACAGGGGGGTTTGACTCAAGGGGCCGACTAGAACCTCGGTGGTCAGCCATGCTTTCAAGTGTGTTTTTCTACAGCTTTTTTGCCTTCCAATATTTTTCCTTTTAATTTGTACACAAATGAAGCCCCTTCCTTTCAAATGCACAGTATGCTGTACTTTTGTAACACGGAGATTTGGACTGGGTTTCGGAAAAATGAGCTTTGGCAAACTGGGATTTCATGATTTCAGTGAACAACTGGATTTGGCAAACTGGATTTCGACAAACTGGCTGGATACCTTCTTGAATACTATTGCTATCGGCGAGAATGCATCCTTGTCACTGAAAAAGATTTTGTATTAGTTCCAGATCTTCGTATCAGCCAAGAAAAGCAGACTCGAATGTTGTCCTGCATGCAATGCATGCTTTAAGGAATTCCAACCAATACACAAATATCAACCGTTCCATTCTGGAGGCATCGATAATTCAGTCGATGCTACTGTATATCTTATTTTATGACAACGGAGAGAGTCATTTTAGAGACAAACACTGGCAAATACCGAAAGTTGTTCAAATTAAGTGGCATTAACTTTCACCAGCAAAGAAATCATCCCTTATTGGATCTCATGCTTCTGTAGTCAAAGGCAAAGTTTTGATGACACTTTCTGATAACTTAGGTGTTCTGTCACAAAAGATATCTGAAGAACTTGAAGACTGTGGGATGAAGTTAAGGGAAAAGTGTAAATCAAGCAAGATGTGAAATGTTCAATAAAGGCAACAAGATCACAGACATATCATTGCTACCACCATGTTTGCAAGCAGACCCTTGAGCACTTGAGGAAATTTAATCGCTAAAGAATGGAAATTAAGCAGACGTCGTAAATGATTTGGTCAGTAAAAATAGTATTCACAACAGATGGAATGATCAAATGAAGCAAAAAATGATTGAGACAGTGATGCCCATGGACGTCCAAGAACTGTTTATAATAAAGACGAAGACTTTCAGATTGTAGTGATACATGAATTACATGAATACATGAAGATTATTGCTCAACATAGGCGGGGTTACATAGTAAAGGATAATTATGTAATAAATGAATTAATGCCTTTATACATGAAAATTATTGTAGTTATTTATGTGGTCCTCTTGAATACCTTGTGTAGTACACAAAAGTAATGAAAAGCAACCGTATATTTGTAAGAAAGCTGGAATTTTTTTTGGATTCTGGTGATATTTTCCTTTTTTTCAAAACAGAAAAGGGCTAATATAAGGGGGAATTTTTGCTTACATTTCCAAAAGTGAGTTAGCTTACCACCCTAAAATATGTTATTTTGGGTTTAAAAAATCAACAGCAGTTATTACATTCATGTTTTGTAAATTAAACAAATTTATTTAGGGTATTGAAGCTGCTGTTAAATTGTTCTTTAATTTTGTCGGCCATTTTAAAAAGCGCCCTCAATTACCTCTCGAAATCTTCACATTAATAACTATAGCTAGTTATACTTTACTCTTATCATTACATATTCAAAAGTTGGTCAAAATTACCTCTTCTGTGCTTATTTTACCCATATATATGTAGTTTATTGGATTTTGGCGGCCATTTTGAAAAAAGCGCCCTTACGCGAAAGTTCTCAGGTTACGCCTCTTTTACCTCACATATTCTGATTCCCCATAAAAAACTGGTCTAGAAAAACCATATGAGAATTTCTACCTCTTCAAGTGGCACCTATCTCAATTATAGCCTGGTCTATAAAGATATACAATAAATTTGAAATGAAAATAATTTTTTGTGAAAAAGGTAACCCACTGTAAGCAAGCTTTAATTATTTTGAGTAAATATTGGCAACATCGTACTTTACATTTTAAGCGTTATTATTATTATTATTATTATTATTATTATTATTATTATTATTATTATTATTATTAATTATTATTATTATTATTATTATTATTATTAATTATTATTATTATTATTATTCATTATTAAGAAGACACAACAATAATTGTTACTTAACCAATATCCTGAGGCGCGTGGAACGGAGAGAGTAGAGAAAACAGTAGAACTTATACATACTGTTTGTGGTGCTGAACTAATAATAATAATTCAAATAATAAAACATTAAATAGTTAAACCGTTATTAAATTTTTAATTATTGGTCGCTTATATATATATATATATATATATATATACATATGTATATGTATGTATATATGTAATATTTGTGTATATATGTATGTATATATATACTGCTATCTTGATTTATATTGTATGTATATATATATGTATATATGTATATATATGTATATATATACATTTGCTAGATATGTAATATAAATTGAATGTAAAATTTATACATATATTATGATGGATCAATATTGGAGGTGTGTCGACAGTGGGTTCCGTGAATTCTGTTGCAAAAACAAACACTGAACACTGCCATATTTGTAGTCGAGGTGTGACTAGTGACTCGTACGAGTGTCACTAGCTGACGAACGCTGCAGGAGGTAACGACGGATATTTTGTTGTGATAAATGTGCATGTTCAAAATGTGTGAAGGTGTTTTTAAGATGAATTGATAAAGGGTTATTAAGGGGAACTTGCGAAATTTTAAACAATCGAGTATAATCTAGTGTTCTGCTGTAGGACCTATCATGGCTCACTCAACTGGGCGTTGGTGCTTCGATGAATATTGATTACGATTAAGGCAATGATCGTAACTATCCTTTTGGTGTGTACGAGAACAACACTTGTTCTTAAAGTAGGCCAACGTGAAAAAGAGATAGCAATTAAGTATTGCTAACAAGACGCCTTCTCAGATGCAATGAGAACTCGAATCATTGATCCTAACTATCATTTTGGTATGTACGAGAACGACACCAGTTCTCAAGTAGATACGTGAAACAGATCAAAATATTAAGTATTGATAACGACAGCGTATATAAACACACGTAAACTTGTGTGTAGGACGTATTTCTGGCCATTGAATAACACGTTCTGATTGGTTGTTGTTACAAGTTCGTTTGGAACTACGGAATGGTTTATTAAATACGGTACATTGTGAAAATGAATGTGATGAATAAGGAGGAGAAGGTATGTGAAAATTTTTGTCAGATGAGCTCTTCAAATATCTCCACAAGTTTTAGGATGTTAAAATGCTGTGTAAAATATTTTAGTTTAATGACTTCTTTCAAGGGAATTATTTCCTATACCTTAATGCTCAGTCATTCATGGTGTTATTATTAGTTATGGCGTCTTCGGTGGTTTCTCACCTTTGACATTTCAAGTTACAGAAATTGATACCTTCTCTGTTAAAATTGCTACCACGTAATTCTGTATGTCATGAAAATCGACTTCAAGATAATGGCTCAAATATATTTATATATTCAATTTTCATAGTTTTATTGGTTTTTTTTTTTGTTTTTTTTAACGTAGGCGTCGATTTGGTTGCGCGTTGTTGTGTCACAGCAAATTATATTTTCGGCGACCTAAACAAAATGCGGGCCAACTAAGAATTCTATAACTTGAAAGTGTATAGTAGGAATACAACTTTATTTTTCACATATTAAAATCTATAACATTCTAAACTTCGTCAGACCATTCGCGTATCTGTTAATAGGTAATTGAAATTTTGTTTTCATAAATGGCATATAATCTTTGAGCTCTCTGGTGATACTTTCGATCTGTAATTGTTTTCGACTAAGCTCCTCCATATGGAGTTGAATAATACATATGCACTGAAAGCTTTACCGGAATCTTTTTAATGTTTTAATGTTAAATCCATCTTTCTGACTACCTGTAACACTTCAGTAAATTGCTTTTCCCTTTTACTGTATTTTTAATTAACTTCTAGAGTTTGTAGTTTTGAGCACTTTTGCGAAGTTTTATGCTCGATATAAAAATTAAGAGTATATAATAAGTAGGGTTATAGGTTATTTCTGTAGCTGCCACCCTTTCTCCTCTATCTACAGACCAATTACCAGTAACCTTCCATTAAGGCTTTATCTGTAGCATATAGAATTTTTATAGGCGAGTGCACACATTTATTAAAACGACAAGCGAATTATCGGAAATATTGGAAAGCAAGTTTAGAGGGTAAAATGAAAGTAGAAAGAAAAGGTTGGGGAACGTTTAATATGCGTACCGGTAAATATGTTACAAGAGAACACTACTGGGGCGAATGCAGGATTTGGCGGTAGAGGGTGCGTGAGAGTCCACGTCACCTCAGCCCCACAATGGTTCCAGGTGCCCGGAAATTGCACTCGCATATATTATTAAAAAATTTAGCGGTAATTCATATCAACAATACAATACAACAATTATTTTTCTGAATCCAATTTAGGGGATGCGATCCCCCCGTTTGCAAGTGGGTAGTGCATTAAAGGGATCTTTCTATATTGACATATAATACATAATAATATGTATACCTCGAGATATGTGGGATTATAAAATGTGTTTACCCCAGTGACAATGTTAATGAATGTTACCTGCGTTGAAAAAAGACGGAACAAGTTTCAAATAATGTAATTGTTTATGTGGAAGTAAACTGATGTGAATTATAAATAATATTTGGAAAACCCAAATAAACAATAATATACTGTTTAAGCCTGCGTTCCACAACAACAAACTCTGATCTATTTTAGATGCATTCATTCAGAGCTTGGACGCCACGACCGACATGCCACGTCTCAGAAGACATTTATTTACAAAATTATACATATATACGCAATTCGTCTAATCAGTATATAGGCCTACGGATATACGTTGATAAAATGTATTCAAATCAATATTTGATGATATATTATTTGAAAAGGCTTTCAAAAACGTTTCAGTTCCTACCTCTTCGGGGATTACGTTATTCATCCGTATAATCTCTGTGTTGACAAATGGGGGATCAACACTTGACTCAGGGGAATTTTGATCGTCCATGTCGTCCCATCCTCCATCGTCTTCCTTAGCAGAATCTGCAGTCTGGCCTAGAGTTTTACCATCGATTGGCTCTATCGCGTTCCGTCCAAGCCCAGTTGCATCTTCGTCATTCGACGGAATATCATGGGGTGTCGGTGCCGTCTTAGCGACGGTAAGCCCGAGCACAAGGCTGAGAACACAGATGTGGAAGGTGTTCATGTTGGAACGGTAGCTCGAGAAGTCCGCTTAAGTCGGCAGTCAATTATCCCAATTTTAGCAAATTTTTCTGTTGTTTTCACTCTCTGTTTATGTTAATTATATCAAATTGATTAAGCCTTGCATTCGTGCTTATTGATGTATTTTTAGTGTAGCGTTATGCGAGAGAATATAACGTGTGGATCTTCCACTTCTCAACAGCACCAATGATTGGTTCCCCGTTGCTGCCCACGCTCGAAACGTACATTAATTATAATATCATCGTCTTGAATACAGCTGCTTTGTTAAACTTAAGAAATCATAACGAGCGTGATGCACTGAAGAAATGATTTTAGAACAGAGAAAATAATAATTTTCCAATACGTAAGAAAGCGATGAAATGCTCACTGGACATTATCTTGCTCGTTGTTGTTTTCTCAAGATAATAATATCCAACGAGCATGACGTCATATATCTTTCCGTTGCTAGCCATTCATAATTATTATCCAGAACGATGCAAAATTGTTATTGGTTAATCTTACAACGCACGTAGGGCCTAATTAATACATACGTTAATAGTATATTTTATTGAGAGCTTTTTGTAAGCCTAGTCGGCTACATGTTTATCGGGTTATTGTATCATCCACATGAATATGAAGCAATGGTTCAATGTT